TTTGAGGAGGGGGCTGGGAGCTGGCTTCTCCCCTCAGGACACCACCTGCGCCCCTGTCCAGCCATGTCCCGACCTGTTTCGCTGGGGGCCGGGGTGGGGGGATCTTGTGGGTGACGCTGAGGACTGAGTCAGCTGCTTGAGTTTAGCCCTAAGCGCCTGGAACAAGCCAGAGGGAGGGACCAGCGGGAGGGTGGGCAGCGTCCGGGGTGGGGTCTGGGTCCTCGAGCCTCTCCAGGCCCCTCCCTCTGACCACGCAGGAGATTTCCAGTCCTAAGAACCCCCCCCCCCTTTTCCAGGTCTCACCTTTCCCTCACACTCCGTCCAGCTGGCTTTGGGGAGGGGACTGCGGGCTAAAGGACCCCCCCTCAGCCCCCCGCCCCCCCTCCGCTAAAAAGGGCATCATTATTAGTGTCTACCTCTCCCACCAGTGGAAAGAAGGGATGTATGTGTTCCCAGAAAAGGAGTAGATGTTTTGTGGGGCCCTTCTGTCTATCCATGTGAACATTGCCCCTCTCTGTGGCCGGGCCTGTGGGCTGGTGTCTGAGCATTTGCCAGGCAATATGTGGAGTTGGTATGTTTGTGTATGTTCCCGGATCTGTCTGTGTGTGCTGGGTGCTTGTCGTCTGGAGTCTGAGACTAGTTCTCTCTGCCTGGAGCACTCTTCCCCACACAGCCCATGGCCTCCTCCCTCCCGCCCCCATTCCTCTGTGCCCCTTATTTTGTGTCTTAGTTTCCGTTTCCTGTAGTTGCTGTGACAAATTACCCAAAACGGAGTGGTTTAAAACAACAGAAATGTGCTCTCACAGTTCTGGAGGCCAGAAGTCTGAAACCACGGTGTTGGTGTTGGCAGCCACCCAGCCACCCGTTCTCCAATGGCCTTAGGGGAGAGTCCTTCCCTCCTCTGCCACCTTCTAGTAGCTCCGGGCTCTCCTTGGCTTGTGGGTGCAACACTCCACTCCAGTCTCTGGCTCTGCAGGGCCTTCTCTTCTTTCTCCCAAAGCGCCCTCTGCCTTTCTCTTAAAAGAACATTATCATTGGATTTAGGGCCCACCTGGAAAATCCAGGATGATCTCATCTCTTTTTAAAAAAACTATTAAAAAATATTTTTTATTTCAGAGAGGAAAGGAGAGGGAGAGATAGAAACATCAACGAGGAGAGAAAATCATCGATCAGTTGCCTCCTGCATGCTCCCCACTGGGAATTGAGCCCTCAACCCGGGCATGTGCCCTGACCCGGAATTGAACCGTGACCTCCTGGTTCCCAGGTCGAAGCTCAACCACTGAGCCACGCCAGCTGGGCGAATGATCTCATCTTGATGTGTCACTTAGTTACATCTGCAAAGACTCTTTTTCCAAATAATGTCAGCCACAGGTTCTGGGATGTGGACATTTCTTTCCTAGGGCCACCACTCTATACTATACCATGCCCTTCATGGCCATCATGCCCCCGCCACCCCCTGCCGGCATGCTGTATACTAACGTGTGATTTGTATATCTTCTCTTCCCCCAAGCTAGCTGTGAGCATCGAGAGGGTGGGACCACTTTTATTGTGTTTGCTGCTGTATTCCAATTGCTAAGAACATAGTAGGTACTTAGTGACTGTTGCGTGAGTGAATGAGTGTGTGTATTTATTATTGGTTTGCCCATGTGTGTCTTGCCTGTCTTGTGTGTATGTCTGTGTGTCTCCTGCCTCCCCTGAGCTGTCTCTGCCTACAGGTGCCCACCAGGCTGGGTGGGTGAGCGGTGCCAGCTGGAAGACCCCTGCCATTCGGGTCCCTGTGCTGGTCGTGGTGTCTGCCAGAGCTCGGTGGTAGCAGGCACTGCCCGGTTCTCCTGCCGCTGTCCCCGTGGGTTCAGAGGTAAGGGATGATCTGGAAGGGACCCCGAGGTAGTAAGGATGTGGCCCACCTAACTCACCCTCTTGTGGTCCCTCCAGGCCCTGACTGCTCCCTGCCAGACCCCTGCCTCAGCAGCCCCTGTGCCCATGGGGCCCGCTGCTCAGTGGGGCCTGATGGCCGCTACATCTGCTCCTGCCCACCGGGCTACCAGGGCCGCAGCTGTCGAAGTGACGTGGATGAGTGCCGGGGGGGAGGTCCCTGCCACCACGGTGGCACATGCCTCAACACACCTGGCTCTTTCCGCTGCCAGTGCCCAGCTGGCTACATGGGGCCACTGTGTGAGAGCCCTGCAGTGCCCTGTGCTCCTTCGCCGTGCCGTAACGGAGGCACCTGTAGACAGAATGGCGAGCTCACCTATGATTGTGCCTGCCTTCCTGGTGAGGAAGCTGCTCTCGGGGGAGGCAGCAGGGGTGGGAAAACAGCAGGCCAGCCTACAGTGTCAATACTCGCCGCCTCCTCCCATGCTAGGGTTCGAGGGCCAGAACTGTGAGGTGAATGTGGATGACTGTCCAGGGAACCGGTGCCTAAATGGGGGGACATGTGTAGATGGCGTCAACACCTACAATTGCCAGTGCCCTCCGGAGTGGACAGGTGGGCACTGGGGCTGAAGGGAACTGGGTGGCAGACCTTGGGGGGGGGATGCACAGTCCAGGTGACTGGACTGGTGCATCTGTGTGCCACAGGCCAGTTCTGCACGGAGGACGTGGATGAGTGTCAGCTGCAGCCCAATGCTTGCCACAATGGGGGCACCTGCTTTAACACACTGGGTGGCCACAGCTGTGTGTGCGTCAATGGCTGGACTGGTGAGAGCTGTAGTCAGAACATTGATGACTGTGCCACGGCCGTGTGCTTCCACGGGGCCACCTGCCATGACCGCGTGGCCTCCTTCTACTGTGCCTGCCCCATGGGCAAGACTGGTGAGTGGCTGTTTCCCATGGAGGCGGCAAGGGAGCCATTGATGGCTCTTGAATGGGGGCAAGGATGGCATCGGACTTGAGTGTTAGAATGATTATGCTGGAGGCCAGATATGGGGAGAAGGTAAGCCTGGGAGAGGCCGGGAGGAGGGGTTGTGTGTGGTACAGGACAGACGCCATGGAAATAGAGAGATACACTCTGAGCAAGAAAGAGAGGAGACCCTTGCAAGTGGCAAAGGTCAGAGAAGGTGTTTGGAAGGGGGATTTGAAAATGGAGGGAAGGGCATGTCAGGCAGAGGGGGCTACAGAAGCAAAGGCTTGAGATAGGACCTTTGCATGTTTCCAACTCATCTTCGAATGATTCAGAAAAAGGATAGATCAGCCTTACAATAGTGGAATCTAGGTGGCGGGTGTATAAATCAACTTCTCTGTATGTTTAAAATTTTTCATAATAAACAATTAGGAAAAAGTAGCTACTAGATATGCTACAGGTTAGTAAAAACAAAACGTAAAACACTATGCGGGTCTGTGGGACCTTCGGACAGCGCCGGAGGGTCTGCCCTTGACCTCTGCCTGTCCCTTTCCAGGGCTTCTGTGCCATCTGGACGATGCCTGTGTCAGCAATCCCTGCCATGAGGATGCTATCTGCGACACAAACCCGGTGAATGGCCGCGCCATCTGCACTTGCCCACCCGGCTTCACCGGTGGCGCGTGTGACCAGGATGTGGACGAGTGCTCCATTGGTGAGGGGGTCATTGTCTGAGTTAGAAGGAGGGGACAGCTCGTTCCTCCGCGGGCCATACCTACCCTGGCTGTGCCTGTTTCTGCAGGCGCCAACCCCTGTGAGCACCTGGGCAAGTGTGTGAACACACAGGGCTCGTTCCTGTGCCAGTGTGGCCGAGGCTACACGGGCCCCCGCTGTGAGTCTGACGTCAATGAGTGTCTCTCCGGGCCCTGCCGCAACCAGGCCACATGCCTCGACCGCATAGGCCAGTTCACCTGCATCTGCATGGCAGGTGCGTGGTGGATGGGGTAGAGGCTAGGCCTAAGGCTGGGTGCCTGCAGGAAGGGACGGGGTGGAACTGGGTTCCCAATGGGACCCTGAGAAAGTGAAGCCTGGGATGAGGTGGAGGTGGGGCCAGAGTAGAACCTTGTGAGAAGCTGGGGGCGTGGTCTAGTGGAACCAATAGAATCTCCTGTTGAGAGTGGAGTCTGGACCTAAGGACCTGCTGTGGGGCATGAAGGATAGGGGGGCAGGGGCTGGAGTGAGGTTTAGGTGGAGCCTGCAGACTTGCTGGGGTGTGCACAAGGCAATGTGGGGCCTGGGAGCTGGGGACAGGGCGTGTCCGTGGACGGGAGAGGGAAGAGGGTGGTCTAAAGGCAAGGTCCAGACGGAGTCTCAGAAGCCTTGGACTAGTTGGGACCACAGCTTGGTGAGGGTCTGGCCTGAGGACAAAAATTGAATGTAGGGTTGCCCTGGGGGGAACTGATTGGGAAGGGGAGTACCTACCCCGTTGCCCTCTCCTCAGGCCAGAGGGAAACCCCACGACCCTAATATCCCTCTTCCCACCCCCCACCTCCCCCAGGCTTCACAGGCACCTTCTGCGAGGTGGATATGGACGAGTGTCAGAGCAGCCCGTGTGTCAACGGCGGGGTCTGCAAGGACAGAGTCAATGGCTTCAGCTGCACCTGTCCCTCTGGTGAGGACCTTGGGGCACAAGCTCCGGGATGGGAGCCTGTGAGACCATGTTGGCGGAAAACGATTGCAATAGAAACCGCGTCATGAGAAAATTTGAAATGGATTTAAAACTAAGTAAATGGGCTTCCCACCCAGACAAGGCAGAACTGGCGAGGGGTGACTGCTCTGACCCTGTCTGGGCCTCGGCTCATCCACTCCCTCCCCACTCAGGCTTCAGCGGGGCGCTGTGCCAGCTGGACGTGGATGAGTGCGCGAGCACGCCCTGCAGGAATGGAGCCAAGTGCGTGGACCAACCTGACGGCTACGAGTGCCGCTGCGCAGAGGGTGAGGGCTGGCCAATTACAGGCCGGCAGGGATTTGGAGGCGGGGCCAGTGGGGGTGAGGGCCAAGAACAGTCTTGGAAAGGGCTTCGGGGCAGGACTGCATCAAGTCAGGGCCAATGACAGCCAGGGGGCGGAGCCAATTAAGAACTTTAAAGCAGGGGTAGGGGCCAAAGCTTCTGGTGGGATGGATACTGGGCGCAGGTAACTGTGCGAGGCTTGACCAACGCTATCCCAAGGCACCTCCATGTGTCCCCATTGGCAGTTGAGGGAGAGGCAGAACTGGGCTGAGAGTGTAGGAATTGGAAACGGGGTCACAACTGGGGGTGGGATTTAACCGTGGGAG